AGAAACATAAGCAATGCCCAATATTAAAAAGCGACTATTCCAACACATCCATGGTTGGGGAGCAATGGCATACATGACCACGCGCAGGCGTGATTGAGTGACCACGACCTTAATTTTGTCTCAGAAACCACCATGGTGACCGAAGCATTGCAAGCCAGAGCCAAGCAAGAAAAGAGTGAGCGAAACGTAGGGTTGAGGATGGCTGATCTGTGCGAGAATATGTTTGGGATTTTTGTGATTCCTCTGTCAATGACAGAAAGGTAATGGGGTACTTTTTATGATGTGGTGTGGTGTGGTGCGAAGAACAAAGGAAAAGCGCCTCCAACGAGTGAAAGGTAATCAGTAAGTTAGAAGATGGCGCCTTCACAAAATGTTATGAACAAGACAAAACAAATCGAAACGAGCGTGGGGTATCTCGCGGGATCAGCCAGTCATAACCACTACATATCGCCCACTCACTGCTTCTCGACTCTAGCTGCTTGCGCTGCCGAGTCATCCAAGGGTTTCGGCGGTAGACTCCTCCGTTTATCGGTGGAAGAACGCGGGGACAGGGACAGTAGCCGAGCGCTGCCGGCGCTGATGTGTCGTGCGTGTCCCTTGCCCAGATTCACGCTGGTCGCTCGCCGAATTTCCTCGTATTTCACATCCCCCAAGGTATCCGAGTGTTCAGGGCTTGCCTCGGGAGTATGCGTATCGCCCAAGAAATTGAGATAACCTTCAAAGCTTTTCGTTCGGACATTGGCAGGATGACCGTGAATGACAACGGGCTGCCCTTCCCTGACAGATCCCCAATGAGGTTCATCCTCCCAATCACTTGATGCGCGAGCCTCCCCACTGGACTGCCGGTTCCATCCAGGACGTTCTCCACTAGGACGTGCAACACGGGATAGATAATCATCATCCACGATGGATGATTCCTCATTTAGGTGTTCATGCTCAGGTGAATGTCCATCCTGAATCTCGTTATCGGGCTCTAATGTCCGAGGAAGCTGCCTATATGGTGTTGATGACCTCATGAGACTTGACGACTTTCGCCTCTTCGCCGAAAAGCGTCCGGATAGCCATGATGCCTCAGAATCTATGGAGGCAAGCGACATGGTTTGCGGTTCGGGTGTCATATTACGCTCATCGGGGTGGCCGAAGGAGGAGGGCGTATGACGGAGTGCGTCCACAGATCTCTGTTCTGATGACGTTGGTGTCTCGTATCTAGGGCCATTCTCCGATGTCGTTACTCCTAGAGGATCGATATCGTTGTTTGGGTTAGGAGACGCCTCGGCGATCGTGGGGGGAATCGAATCACCCTCATTTAAGTGTATCCTAGATCCCGGTGGCGTGATTGGAAGCTCGGGAAGATCTTCACGGAAGCGCGATTTCGTGCGCTTCGGTACTCCCGAGCTAACCCGTCGCGGGGTGAAATTGGATGGTGGTGTTGGCACCTGTAGTTGCGGCGTTTGCATCGAGTCGCGCGACGTGTTGGAGAACGAAGACGGCCCACCGGAGCTTCGTCTGTTTCTGTTCCCCCACCTGAAGATGGATGCCCATGATATAGGTCCTCTGGAGCCGCTGGTCTCCGACCCTCTTCGCATCTGTTCCGAGTGTTCCGTTTTGGCCGAGGAGGCTTGTCGAGATGATCGACCATTCGGGTTAAAGAAGAAACCCCTTGAATGCGAATTGGCTAAACCAGGGGCTTCTGGCCCGAGGGGGGAAGTGGGAGTCTCGATCGGGATGCTTTCCGTGCGATGGAAAGATCTCAGTGGGTGTGGTCGCATATTTTCCTCATCTTTTCCTTCGTTGAATTCTTCCCTCGATCGCTTTTTTGCTGATCTTGAAAGCTCGTCCGATTTACGAATCCTTGATGACGTTACCACCGCAGACGCAGGGTCGATCCCCAAACCCACGGCCTCACGGCCAAGAACGCCTCTCTCCAGGTTTGGAGGAGACTCCCTGCCTTCCTTCTGCGCGTCATTCTCATCAGCGCGCTGCTTTTCGACCCGTTCGGCTAGTTTCGTTTGCGCCTTTTCCTGTTCTCGCTGCTGTCTCCGTTCGCGCCGTCGCCGATCTCGCTCCATCAACTCGCGAAGATCACTCGCGCTTAGATCATTAGCGAGGTCGTCAACACGTTTATGTGCCTTCAGTGTCGCCTCTGGTATGGGTTCTACGAGCCTCTTCTGGCGTTGTGAAGGTTTCTTGGCAAGCCCTGATGCGTCAACCTCGCCATGTGAAGAGCCCTGTCGCGGATGTGTAGCATATCGAAGGGTTGGCCTGGGAGCGAGTGCTTCGAGTGCCGAGACTTTGTATGATATCTGTTCGGAGTCGGATGAAAAGGCCGAGTTGAGGGATTCGCGTACGGGTAAGGACACGTCGGAGGATCTCTGACCCCGAAATCCGAGACCGTTCTTGATTTTCTTGCTGTCCTTCTTCATGGGGCGTCCTGCCATCCAGTCATCGGTTGCTGCTCGAATAGGCACATATGTGCTCATCGCCTTGATCTCTGCCTCCCGCGCACGATCTTCCCTCCGCCTCTTCTTGGTCGATTTTTTTCGTAGTAGGTCATCGCCGTCGCGTTGGTTGTGGAGAGTGGGCACGCGAAAGAAAACGTTCCGACCTAGTTCAGTGTTGGTGGGCCCCTGGGAGTTGGCTGCTAATCCCGTGACTCTCCATTTTCCTTCAACGCTCGTCTTCCGCCCAAGTTTAATCGAATCGTGGCGACCGGGGGAGAAGCTGTAGGTGCGTGCTCTTCGTTGAAGCTTGTGAGGATCCGCTCGATCCTGCCCTGTCTTTGCCTGTTCCGCTGTCAAAGCTTGGCCTATTTGGGTAGCATCTCGGTGCCCATCGAAATCCGTCGTGGCGGGGCGAGAACGCCTCTTACGGCTTTTCCGCCGAAACGGCCAGATTGCCATGATGACTCGGACGGACGTTTGGCAAGAAACCGTCGGGGTGCAACCGGAAAAGCTGTGTGGTTGTGTGCAACTAGCTGTAAGATGGCACGTATGGCTGGTTTCTAGTATTGTCTGTGTTTTGTAGTAGAAGCGACCGGTTCATTATGACCATGATTCCAAGGTGTGGTAGACCAAAAGAAGGCAAAATGAGTACCCAGACGGCCTACGAATCTGATGTGGGGGCCAATATTTTCAAACCATGCTTGATATATGCCAATGTGAGAGGCGCGGTGATATGTCGCAGGATTGAGTGAGTAGAAAGCCAGAGGAAGGGGCGGCTGAGGACGGTTTGCGAGGTGGCGATTCTTTTGTCGCGACGACCTGGGGTGGCAGTGTGGTGGTATCTCCAAGGATCGAGGTAGTCAGGTACTGATTCAGATATCCATGCAGGGTCTGGCTTGGATTCGTTTGGAGGTATGCCAAGGAGATTGTGTTCTACCAGTAGAATTGTCAATGAGTGTCTTTGCTTTGTTGAAGAAGAGAGTGCACGAGAGTGAAGCAGTCCCGGTGTTTCCTCTTTGTTCCGCGGACACACTTCCACCACGCAACCAAGCGACGTAGCATTCGGCTCTTGAGGGAACTCGGAGGCAAAACCAGGAGGTTTGAGCGCAACGTGGAAGCAGGTCCCAAGCAACAAATAAGGGGGATGTTGGCTGGAGTGGTGGGCAAGGGAAAGTGAGAGCGAGGGCAGAGGTAGAAGTGATCGACACCCAGTTTTTCCCTGTTGCTGGATTGAAATAAAAAGGGCAGGATATAAGGTGGGGTGGGATCAACTTGGAGGAAGGTGTGACGAAGGGAGCAATGAGAGAAGTATTATCGACTGTCCTGCGCCTTGCTGGCAGCTCGAGTGGTAGAGGGGATCTGGGGATAGCTTGCGTATTCGAGAGGCACAGCTCCAACTTGAAGGTGCACTGCGTGTATTGGGTTGGACAGGTAGAGAACGGTTAGGGAAAGGAATAGAATGGGTTTTTACCTTTGTGAACTGTGACTGCGGGCCGGACGGGGAGACGGGGCGGTCCCCTAGAAAAGAGGAAAACGATGGATGGAGATTGGAGGTGAGGTGCAGGTGAGATGATTATGAATGGCAGCAAATGGAAAAGAAGAATGAAGAAATCAATCAACAGCCGACGAACGAGGGGAGGAGGAGACGGCAAGTGCCGCTTTTGCAAGGTGACTTCCATCTGAGGAACCTGAAGCATGGAGAGGAAAGGATGGAAGGAACCGCAGTGGGGAGCAATGAGTGCCCTGGGAGGCAAGTACCACTAGAGTAATGTAGAGCTTAGCTAAAGTAAAATAGTGTAACGCAGAAAATTACCTGTACGTAAGGTAGGTAGGTACCTACCTTGGGAGCAGCCGGGGGGTGAAGTAATGAACTGGAAGGTACGGAACCGTTCAGTTATTGTCGTCCAGGATTCAACCTCGCACTTTGTTCGTGTTTGAATTGAACTTAGTACGGAGCAGCTCTGGAGTGAGGTCACGCATTGCCTCTTCAAGTGGAGGGCATCGCGTCCCTGTGTATCTGATAGTGATAGCTGGTTCACTCCCTCAACCGAAGCCATGACGTTCTTACCTGGGCTGGACATCACATCTAGCTGAAAAATAAAATTGAAAAAAAGGGGACCTGAGCTTCCCCGGCGTTCCTGCCGTGGGTGGACGGTAAGCTGGAAACCATCGATAGAGGTATGCCCTGCCGTTGAAAATGCGTGCTTGCCCTGCTGCCCGCCCTCTGTCCTGCCCGGGCCTGCGACTTGCGAGGTCCAGTTGCAACCCTCTTACGCTAGTTGACAGCGGGCGTCGGTGCGTGTGTGCGTCTGAAGTCTGAAGTGGAGCTCTACCGACTGCGCTAAACTATTAGGGCATGCAGCCAGGGCACTGGAACTCCGTACTCCGTATTTCGCAAGCGTATCATTGGCGTATCGTAATGTGCTGGCGCTATAGGAAGCTTGAATGTTGCACATGAAGTGGATCACGGGCGTCACTGGGCGATGCAACTACATAATCATTCCCGTCCTCCCTCAAATTTAGGTCTTCCCCGCCATCAATAATCTCCCTCCTTTTCCACACTGCTCCTGTTAAATTCGACTTGTCTTTTGCGCATTGCGTCTGGCGCAACCCATCTCCGCACTTTTCTCCTCTCATCTCACGTAGGCTCTCACGAGATAGCTTGGACGACGACCTACTGGACGCCGCAAGTGACGGACATATGCATCACGACCGATATGCTACCAATGAAAACATGGAAAACGGAAAATGTTCAACGGTCGAGCACGCCCACCGGCCATTGCCATGAAAATGGCAGGTGCTCCAAGCAGTGGCGGCAACCATTGGACTGCCCCGAAAACGTGGTGGTGTAAAGCCCATCTAAAGGTCCCCTCATGATAAGGGTTGCCGTTCGAAACGGGCATCTCTCGGATTGCCAGGACCAGGACGTCGAGACAGCCCGACGGAACCCAGTCCGGAGTCGGATCGATGTTCTGTGTCCCCCCGCTTGCATCGGGCATCTTGAACGCCATATTGGCAAACTGAACATCAGCTGGACATGCTGACCTTGAAGATGCGCTTGGTCATTTTTGAAAATGGCCTCTCTGTAGAACAAGACTCCATCACCAAAGCTCAATGACCCTACCTACTTGGCTTTTGTATGGGCTTTTTTGGTCGGCATCGAGATTCACAACGAAGGCCAGCCGGTTGCAACGAGTTCTTGGCGCTCCGGATATCGACCCGTCAGTACCTATCTTTCGTGTCCAAGAAGCTTTGACAATTCTCCATCAATCATTTCTGCACTTGAAAGCTTCCATTGCATAAATGTCTGCTGCCAATATTTGCACCCAACATACATCTGTCGTCGGCGCGCATTGCAGACCACGCCTTTTATAGCCACTGATAGGCGCAAAAGTCTCGGCCACTCCCTACTGCGTACTAACAGTAGTCTGGGGTTGCCGTGGCCGTCTGCAAACAGTGCCCGAAACGCTCGTATCCGTCTTCATCACAATAATCGCAGCCCCCCCGGTGAGCACTGAGATGTTCAAGGTATTTTCGGTTTTTTTGTGTTTTTTTTTACCATCCTCATCAGGTCTTGCAATGAGTGGCCAACAGTTTACTCTTACTTATAGTGTACCATGCTGGTATTGTATTTTTTTGTATCGGTAACAAACCCCAAACATCAGACCCACCTCTCGCGATGGCGGGAAGCTGCCCGTGGCTTGCAGGAAATGGAGTTCCGTATGTTCTTTCGCCAAAACGACGATACAATGTATCGACATGCGTTGCGGACCCCGAAAACTCCAATTTTCCCTCCTCCAATCTGGCTGAACTGGGGTGCGCTGGAGCCAATTATGTCATAGTAACCCCCTCTTCTCCCAAACTTCAGCCCATCGGAGTCCATCTGAATTGGCGTTATCCTGTCTTTCGGTAAAAGTCTTTCTTGTGTAACATAGTAGAAGCGAGCCCCGACAAACCCAGCTTCGCTCAAAAACGACATACGATGCATTCAATTATCAGTGCTTCCCTTGGAAGATACCAAAGGAATCCAACTTTCGGTGGTAACGCCGCCATCATCATCGTCGCTGTCGCCGTCGCCACGCTTGGTTCGTGTTCAGTGCAATGGACCCAAAGATTTGCGGCCTTTAGTTCCACTGTTCCACACGCAGTCCCCATGCAGTAGCGCCGGCCCAATCCTGGGAATAGTAACTAGTGCACAAAGCCGCCGATAGTTTCTGCAGGGCAAGGCGTCGTTCAACTACACTACGCTATGTACAGCGCGGCCCGGTGTCTGTCAGCTTGACACGTGTGTCGGCTGCACTTGAGATGTCCAGAGTGCCCAGAGTCACGGCAGCATCCATATGTCCGAGCACAAAGGTCGTGGGAAACTGTCTCTCTCTTCGAAAAGCCTCCCTTCTCCTCAAGGGACAGCGATAAGGGTCAGAAGCAGCAAGCGGCTACAAGTATCACCAAAAGCGAGCGTGGAGTTGTTGTTGTAGGTTGCGCAGCAGCGGGTCACCCCGTGCGCTAACTGGCTGTCTTGGACGACTCTTGGGGGTGGTCTTTACCGTATGTATACGAGATGGATACTCAGTCTGAATGCCTGATTCTGCAGGTGATGCCGTGCTTGGCCATCTCCCGTCGGTAGGACAGTGGGACTTGGAATCCACCAGCGCGAACGAGCTGACAAACCAGGCACAAGAGACACTGCATCTCAGAGAGAGATCCAGGAAATGGGCAGGATGCGTGATGATGGAGCAGACAGCATAGACACGTGAACGGCGCTTGCTGGATTTCAACCGAGAACCGCAATTGCACTTCCCGTTCACACCCGCGGCTTCAACATCGCACATGCTCGACCCAAACAAGCACCCACCAAGTCCCACAGCATGCCAAATTGAGAGCACAAGAGACTCCCCGGGAGCTTGCGGCGACTGCGCACAAGATTACGGGCGTAGTTGACTTGTAAAATAAGGTCTATGTCTGTGTTGGGAACAGAGATAAAGACGCTACAGTGAAAGACACACACGACTTTTTAAGATTTCATGATGTGTGGCAGGAGGAAGAAAACTCAATCAGTCACACAAAGGATCCCAATTCCGGGCAAGCACCCTAGCTTCATTGGCTGACAACACACCAAAATTGTTGCGTGCCTGAATGGATATTGATGCAGGCCAGGTTCGGGGAATGGATAAGGCGCATCAGCCGTGGGCCGTGGTCGCAATGGAACGAAGACAACGGTGAGCGCCGTTTGATTGTTCGCCGTTCGACTTCGCGCGAAGAAAAAGAAAAGAAGAAAGGCAAAAGCAAAGTGACAATGGATCACTAGACTAATGAGCCACCAACTTCATGCTCATGCACGAGGTACCTATCTCATGGCAACCCGCTCGAGTCATCGTCTAGGAGAGAAGGAGAAAAAAAAGTGAGATCGCGCCCATTTTCCCCAGAGCGGGCTGCCGTCTGCCGCGGGAAGCAGGAGATGATGCCATTTCACCAGCTTCACAACCCACGACAGTACGACGGATGGGTCCTTACCTTTGGCGGCTATGTACCGCATATCTCATCTTATAAACCGCAGGAATCAGGAATTCCAATATACAAGTTGATGTAAGATCCCGCCGTTATGGTGAAGAGATCTTTTCTTTCAACAACCATGCCATGGCCTTTGGCCCTATCACATTCCAACACGGGATTAATGACACCACAAACAAATCACGGGGCTCTGGGAAGAGAAGGGTGTTCCTAGGTTCCTTTGGGTGTCACCATCCAGTCATGTTACTAGTCAGGGGTAAAGGGAAAAAAAAAACTTCCATGGGCTGATCCGGTACCTGGAAATGAATTTGAATGAACGAATGATTACTTGCAAGTGCAGACATTCAGGGTCCAGGTCATCCTCGCCTTTTGTCTTCGACTCTTACAGCCCTTTTCTGTTATTCTTTGATTCTTGTTATCAGTCCGAGCTGAGGGCCAGGCTCAACCTGAAGCATTAGGCGACATTACTGCTAAAGCGAGAGAGAAAAGGAAGAGCCCGAAGGACAGCCGTGTGTTATCAGTCTGAGCTGAGGGCCAGGCTCAACCTGAAGCATTAGGCGACATTACTGCTAAAGCGAGAGAGAAAAGGAAGAGCCCGAAGGACAGCCGTGTATTAAAAAGTTTAAAACATTGCCTGGGATGGATGCTTCCGAAAATCGAATGCCAAGAGACCATATTCTAGGGGTCTTTTGCTCCACTCTGAACTGCTGCTGTTCACCTCGGTGATCCCCAGGGCCGTCGGCCGCCGTCTCAAATCTCTCTTCAACACCTCACGTTGAACGATCCTTTCTCTCGTTTGTACATACAGTACTCAACTTTCCAACTTTATATGTCATGGCAAATGCCTGCGTCGCTATCATATCGATTCAACGACTAATCAACAGCAAACAATTACCAGAGACAGGAGCCAAGACGAAAACCCCACTCCCCCCATTCCATTATTAAATGAATACTTCTACCTATTTACTTGCAGAACGCCATACACAGCTCCCGCAACTCTGCAGACGCCTCCCCCGGAACTATTTGGTGTCGTGACCACCGAGGCACGCTTCTTGCTTCCTTCTTCTTTTTCGTTTCGCAGCCCGGAACCCTGGTGGTCCACGCCACGTCCGCCATCCATTCCGCCTCACATTCAGGTCAATACGGTGCTCAGCTCCTTGGACGCCTCCTACATCCGTCCACGCACAAGTATACAGTCAATGCCGGAGATATCTTTTTACGCATTACGGACGAATTCTTCCGAGTGTGGATGAGATTTCATACCTAACCGCCCGAAGAACAGGAAGAAAAAAACGAGTTTCTTCTTTTGTCGTGTGGGCTGGCTTGCACTGCCGTTACCCGTGTCCCCAAACTTTCAGAGGGCGCCTAGAAGACGCTCTTCTGGGCTTGAAATGGCGTATCGCCTGGCCTCAGCGTTGTTCATGGTAGCCTACCTGGATACCTCCCTTCGTCGGTGTCGGAAGAAAAGTGGCTGATCCTTCTTCATCCTTTTTCCATGTTTGACGCCATCTCGCGTATTCCCTCCTCTCTTCTCTTTTTCGCCTTCTTGACTGAAAGTCTCAGCATTTCTCGTGCTCATGGTCTGGTAACAGACTGTATGCAGTGGCCAGAAAGGGACAGAAAAAAGAAAAAACAAAGAAAGGGGAGACCAGAAGGAACTAACAAGAGGAGCAGGAGAATAGCAAAAGAATGGAAAGAGACGAAAAGACATATAACACCTGGGATTCGCTGGTCGTCACGGACCCAATACCAGGGTAGATCGGCCAGGCATGCCGGTCGGTGCGTGAGCCAGTGGAGCTCCGGGTCCGCTTCAAAAGGGAGGGTCCACATTTTCCGGCGTCGGGGTGGTAGAGGTACTGCTGAGTCGGAGGCGAGCCATCTCCGGAGGCCGGGGAGGCGGGGGAGCAACGTTTCCTCCGGTATGTTTTCATCCGGGAGGGGGGGTGGGGTTTCGGTAAGGGAGTGGAAACGGGACCAGCCGTGCGGTGGGGGCGTGCGTAAGCGTTGGGTGAGCGGATGGGAATGACTGGATATTCCGAGCCCACCACAATTCAGCCGACTACAGGAGCCTTGCGGTTCGCATGTTTGTCGATTCGGACCCCCCTAGACCGAGCTGTCAGCGGGCATCCGGTTGGTAGGTACTGCAGCCGTTTTGGGACTGCTGGCTACGTCCTCCAAGTCTAAAGTGGTAATTGCCTGGGGGAATTGGGCTATTCCTAGTGACAAATCGTCTAAGAACTAGGAGACTGTCTACAAAACCAAGGGGGAGAATATCCACGTCATCGCCCTTCGCCGTCATCGATGAGGGAGCAAGGGCAAGTGGAAGCAGGGTGGTGCTGGTGTGCCACTCTCCTCTCTTGTGGCTGAAAGAGGGGAGCTTGCCGCACCTGTGCGCTTGGGAGCTCAGAGCTATCCCGGAGATGAAGAAGATCCCATCTGCCCTGAAGGCAGCGATTATTCTGTCGTACCGTACCTTGTTGACCGGGAATGGATGATCAGTAAACAATTATTCCTCGGACTTCCCGAATATGATTATCACGGCGACCAACGCGTCGGTGTGATCTTGTTTTCCGGGCTGTGTCCCTACCTTTTGCCAACATGTGCAGTCTTCTGATGTGCAATATATATCTGCGGACCTGTCACAATACGCTGAGGGTGCCATCTCATAGCCGTGCTTTAGCCATTTTCTCCGCCGCCATGCCGTCCACTCCCAACTTGACCGCCGTCGAGCACTTCAACAAGAGTGCCGACAACTACGAGGCCACCACTGGCGGAGCCCCCCGCGAACTGGCGCAGCATGCCATCTCCCTTATCGCGGGCCTGAAGCCCCTGACGTCCGAGTCCAAGATCCTCGACAACGCATGCGGCACCGGCATCGTGACTGACATCATCATCCAGTCCGGCATCCAGCCCGAGATTCACGCCGTCGACTGCGCGGAGAACATGGTCAGCATCGCCAGGGGCCGGTTCTCCTCCCACCCCAACGTCCACCCGGCCGTCATGACCGGCGAGGAACTCGCCTTCCCCGACGACACCTTCACCCACTCCATCACGAACCTCGGGCTCATGTTCTTCACCGACGCTGACAAGGGCGCCAAAGAGATCGCGCGCACACTTCACCCCGACGGAGTGGCCGTCGTCACCGGCTGGGCGATGCGGGCGCCCTTCAAGATCGTTCAGGAGGTCCAGGCGCAGATCCGCCCCGACGATACGCCGTTCAAGCGGCCCGTCGCGGACATCTGGCTCGACCCCGAGCATACCAAAGCCGTGCTGTCGGGTGCCGGGCTCGACGTGCACGCCAGCACTACGGTTGACGTGCACATGGGCGGCGAGACAGCCGACGGGGTTGCTGATCTTCTGACCAAGTTTGCTTTGAAGACATTTGCGTCTTGGAGCGAGGAGGAAAAGGAGAAGGTCGCTGGGGTGATGAAGAAGATTGTGCAAGAGCGGGCCGTTCCGTTTACCAGACCCTCCCTCGGGCTCTGGCGTCGGTCTCAAGCTGACGGGGACTATCTTTGTTGCGCGTAGGGAATCTGGACGTGTACTAGCTAACTGAGTCTCTTCCTGATTCGAGAGGTTCTCCTTGAGATCGCCACAACTCGATTTGAAAGTTCGTATGACGCATTATAAGCCCGGCCGGTGTCCATGTTGTTACGTGGTGCTCAGAAACCCAATTTTAGGCTTCAGAAAATATGATCCCTGATGTTTTACGTAGTCACTCATGACAGACGTTCAACCTTAGTAGTCAGCCCCCATCCACTTCCCCGCCACCCCGTGGCGCAGTCGTTTTGGACCAAGGTTGAACGTCTGTCCTGAAAGACTAAAGTACTGGCTGCTGCTACTGCACAGAGATGCAGGAACCGGATAGACTCCACTTGGTCGTTGGTTATTGTATCCTGGAGTTGTCTGTCTAGACCTCGGAAGTAAGATGGTCTTGCATGCTGACTGCGTATTGTGTTGTACAAGGTATTCGTCCTCGGAGCTCTTTAGCATTTGTCACGAAAATAGTTGAGCTCAGTATGCATGAAGAAAACGGAGTGAACCAGAGAACCAGATATGTGGGCATGGTACCTAACACTCGGACAACGAGCTGTGATCACCACCAAAAGCCATTGTAAGGGTCAAACCCAGACCCGCTCGAACGGTTCTCCGATCAGCACCTTACATGAACTTCCGAGCCTCTCCCCAGTGTCCCCTTTCAGATCCTTCCGTACATGACGGACCCACCAAGAAACATCCAACGATTCGGTCGGGAGCATCCGTATTTCCTACATGCGTGAATGCAATATGTAGATCATCGTGCCTATTATGCATACGGTGAGATGGGTATGTAAGTAAAACCCGTGGGAGGCCAGGTTGCTGACGATCGCTGACCACACAGCGTCCTATACAAAGCCACGAAGCTTCCATTGCCTGTGGTGGTTCGTGCTTGGTACTTGACAAGGGGGCATTTTACTTTGGTTCGCAACCACAGTACTGTAATATCCCGATGTTCATCCTGTCCCATGCCCGGAGTCGGTCGGTATAAATTCTCAGGTTTTCTAATCTATCAGATCAAACCAACCGAGCTGCGAAGAGCACATGCCATCTGTCACCTGATGGATGATAGTGTTCGGTTCGTCTCGGTCTAATATCCTATAGGGCCGATGAGGGTGCCCAATAGGCTGGGGGAGTGTAGGTTTGGGTAGGCGGTTGGCTTTATAGTCGGCTTCAATTTCGAGTCTGAATGAAAGATTCTGGTAACTGTTGCGTGGGATATGTTTTCCCATCGTCTGGTATTGTAAGATCTGGTTCAAATAGCAGATTCGTGACATGAAGCTGTGAAGTCGATGTTCGAGCCTGATTCGGTAAATGCATGGTCGACTTATGTTGTATTGCACACGAACTTTGAGTTTTGGTACGACAATTCCAGGGAGTAATATATGACAATGCGTAAGGTCATCTGGGAAGTCAGAAAACGGCACTTCATCATTAACCGGAGTTGTGAAGGAAAAGGGAAAAGAAGAGATGCAAAGAGACGATCGTCGTGACCAAGTGTCAGAGCATTGCGGGGTTACCGCCATAAGACAGATATGCAATTAGACGGTAAGTGCCGCACAGTAGCGTCTCCGGAGCAACCACCCCCACCATGACATGGGGTTCAATCAACACCTCCAACGGTCCATCCAAAAGTTGCGACAGAGATCAACGCGTCTGGACACGCGCCAACGAACCACCCTTCTTGGAACAGCTTACGCGATACCGATTTTCATCATCCACGCGACAGTCACGACGACAAAGGAAACCCGCGAAATCATCGAGCGAACCACGAACCACGAACCCATCCGAGTCCGTTTTGGTGCCCCAGCACACCACACCACAGCCAAACATGGCCTTCAACCCACGAATGTCCATCCTACCTCCGCAGCCGCAACAATCGCGGCAGCGCAAAAAGGAAGAAGAAGCCGCCTATGCCAACATGCGCCTGCCCGACCGCGAAATCGTCGGCTGCATCAACGAGCTCGGCATCCCTTTCACGCTGGCCGACCTGCAGAAGCCCAATCCGATCCAGGTGCAGATGATCTTCGAGTGGTTCGGCGAGCTGCTGATGAACAAGACGCGTCAGACGGTCGACCCGGCGATGCGCGCGGCCGCCGAGGATGTTTGCGGGCCCGAACTGGGTGAGGCCATGATGCCTTCGGATACGCGAAATCTGCTGGGGTTTTACGTGTCGCTACGCAGGCTGATGCTGGATTGCGGAGTGAATGATTTCAGCTTCAATGACCTCTACAAACCGACGCATGACCGGTTGGTTAGGATGTTGAGTTATGTCATCAACTTTGTCAGGTTTCGCGAGAGCCAGACAAGCGTCATTGATGAGCATTGCAACAAGGCTGAGCAGACAAAGGCGCGCATCGAGCAGCTGTATGTTGAGAACCAGGATATGGAGGCGCAGTTGGAGGAGATGAGACACAATCGTAGGGCAATGGAAGTGCTGGTTCAGGAGAAGACGGTGCGCAATGAGGAGCTCAAGAAACGGCTGCTGGAGCTCAGGCGAAGCCAGGAGAAGGTGGCCGCGAGGTTGGAGGAGGCCAAGACCAAGAAGGGCGAGTTGGCGGCAGAGTTGGAGGAAAAGACGGCTACCAAGATTGCGCTCAAGCAGGAGAGTGCAAAACTCCGGCCTTATGTGCTCCAGAGCCCGTCGGCGCTGCAGGCTAGTTTGGCGGAGCTGAGCAACACGTTGAACAACGACAAGGCACACATTGATGCGCTGGACAGGCGGTCAAGAGCTCTCCAGACGTCAACGGACTCGTTCAGCGTGGTGGCATCGGACGTGGCATCATGCATCAAGCTGTTAGAAGAGATCGCGATCGAGCTGGCCAAGGAAGAAGAGGAGAACGTTAAGAACGCAAGGCAGAGAGACGCGCTTACGGAGCGGGGACACAATGTTAGGGAGGTGGAGCGTACCGAGGCGCTGCTCAAGAGGCAATTGGCCAAGTGGGTTGATCGCACGGCGCAGTTGCGAACGCAGAGCGAGGAGAAGGCGCAAAAGGCCATGGAGAAGATGGAGGAGTTGAGGGCGGTGCATAGGAAGTTGACCGAGGAGAGGTCGGAGAAGGGTAAGGATATTGAGAGAAGGAGGGTGAGGATCGAGCAGACGGAGAAGAAGGTACGTTTAAGCTGGACTGAAAGAAAAGAAATGAGGAGAGATGCTAACCAGTTGTGCCCTCAACTAGATGCTCGACTTGAAAGAGAACATTGAAAACGAAGTCCACGCTGCCCACGACGAGTACCTCAAGATGGAGGCACACATCAAGCTGTACATTACCGAGATGGAGCAGGCCATCTGAGCGAGCGTTTGTTGGTGGATATGTTTTATACCCTTTTGTTCGCACACTTGTTCTTGTTTAACGTACAGTGTACTGCACCGCATTGGCTCACGGGTAAAGCATCGAGGTTTTGTTTGGCATAAGAGGTTTCTGGAGCATGCATGGATACCATGGAGTGGCGTTTTGGTTTAGTTCCCAGCAGGCTGGAAAGGTTGGGTGTGGTAATCTTTGCCTTTCATACCCTTTTAGGAGGCATCAAAAGTTGTAACACTGAATGAGACCACGAATTCTTACGATTACAAACTCCTTTCTGCCGTGCTCTGAGTCCTGAACACTATACCACCCTTATATTCCCTTTCCTGCAATGACTAACCATCCTCAACTGCACAAACGATCTCTTTGCCTTTCCGTTTCCCACTTCCCAACCCCAAACTGGAACCATCGACCCAATACCCTCCTAACATCCACCGTCCTCCCAATCAACCCACCACCAACACTTCTCTCAAGATCCCCTCCTGCGCCTCTCAAAGCACTCCCGCTCACAACTGGCATCTTCTCCCCAAGCAAATCATCCAGGCTCCTCAGACTCTCATCATCCTCAACAGGCTCAACAACCACAACCCCCAACCCAGTCCTCCTCCCCGTCTCCAGCAATACAGCAGCCGTGGTGTTCAGCCCTTGCACACTCCACTCGCTTGAATCACGATGTGAGGCTAGAAAGCCGTAGACTAATAATAGTCGTTGAGATTGTGGATGTTTTTGCAGGTTTGGTAAGGGGTCATAAGTCGACGGATGAGGAGGAGGAGGGGTGGGAACCTTGTTGGTGTTGGTACTGTTATTATTGGTATTAAAGACAGAGAGAAAGGCGCGCAGGTGGGACACGGTGGGGATGAAGACTATGCGGATGTGTCGTGCTACGGCGACTTGGTAGAGGGGGGAGGCGAGGAGTTGGCAGGCCCAGGGGCCAGGGGTGATCTTGGCCGGGGTGGTGCTTGTTGTTTTGGTGGGTTCGTCTTGTGTTGACTGAGCTGTTGCTGCCGGTTGTTGTTGATGACTGGGCCACAGGAGTTGTTGCGACTCGTGGGCTTCCTTTTGGTCTTTTTTTGTATCTGTCGGTACCTTGTCTTGGTCTGGTTGGGGTGAATTTTGCCGCTCTTCTTGCTCTTGATCTTGTGACTTCTCATCTTCTTCTTGGCTTTGCCTAATATCCCTAGCCAAAGCCGTGAGAAAAGCGACCCGGCTGGAGCAGACGATCAAGGTGGTGGGATGAGTGCAGTGGTGGATGATGTACCAGAGCAGCTCAGAGGGAAGTGCCGGGGAGCAGAAGAGAGGCTGAAATTGAGCTTGAGACTGAAAAGAGTCCATCACATTCCACGACAGGGAAAAGGGAAAAAAAGAGGCGTTGGCCACGACTTGCGGTTGCGCAACCAGCAGATATGTGCGTGTGGTGGGAGTGAGCTCCGTTTGAGGTTTTGGTATTCGAGGATTGAAAATGCATAGGCTGTCGTCTCTCATGCACGCTGCAAAAGGCGTTCCACTTGTGAGGTTTGTGTCTAACTTTAAGGTATCACATCGCGAGTCCCGGGTAGGGCTGAGTTCCACTTGTATCGCGGTGGTGGCCGTCCCGGTCCATATGGTCAAGGTGTTCGTTCGGACCCGGGATGATAGGGGTCCTCCCGCGGACGGCAGAAGCTAAAACCTGGGGAGATTCGATTGGAAAGAATACACCCCTATATGCATATGCTTGGAACCTGCATAGCGACTAATAATTAAAGCAGCTCGAGCACTGTTAGTCCACTCCCCCCAACTTTATCTTATAACTCGCAGACTGAAGTCGGCCTCATTCATACGGTGAACTTTCTCGACGTGGAAGACACCACTTGAATGCTCCCGTTATCCTGTCTTATTACCGGAGAAAAACACTGCAATGGGGAATGAAGATTTTTCGGATGCTGGTCAAATATGGAAAGGGGCGGATCAAACATCTTCTATGGTAAGAAAGAAATGTTTCGGTCGAGAGTTTTCAGCTGGCTCAACGACGGTTGGGTGACCGTCGCCGTGTCGGAAGCCTGGGTCGATGAATGTGAGTCTGTCAGGTAATGTTCCACTTTGGATTGCATTGTGTTGTGAGGCCGTAGAGGTAGATGATGTTTGTCCCGCTCGTGGTGTATAAGTGGAGGGTAGGTGAGAGATATGGTGGTCAGCAAGGTACCTAGGTAGCTGCGAGGTAGGCCTGCTACGAATTCCCCACTATTCCCCAATCCACCACAGCTCCAGGCCGTCCGTGCATCACGTCACAGGAGCTCACCACTGCTGGGCGCTCAGCGCGGCACCGGGATCCTACCTAACTTTGTCCATTCCAACTGATCATCGCAACACTCAAGCGCGCTCCCCGAAACAGCGAGCCCAGTGCGCTGGATAACAGTCACTGACCCAACATGGAATCGATAGCCAGGATTTCGTCGCTGCTAGAAAGTGGTAAGCTTAAGTCCCTCTTCAGCTTATCGCCGTGTCCTCCTGCTGACCACGGCGCCTGTCTTGATTCCAGCCCGAGAGCTCACCCTCGATGCCGCCTCGGCCGCCCGCAGCGCCCGCAGCTCGTCCAAGCCTCTCGATCGCGTTCAGGTTAAGAAACTCCTCGACAGTCGCAATGAACGAGAAGTGCTGGACGGTCTGCGTCGGGTCATCTCGGTATGTTTTCACCCCATACATATGCTTTGGTGGCCATGGGACCAAGTGCTAACAGCTCGCCTAGATGATGTACCGCTCGCAAAGGACACACCCTCTGTTCTCCTCCGTCGTCAAGAACGTCGCCTCCCCGAATATCGAGATCAAGAAACTGGTCTACATCTACCTGATCCACCATGCCGAGGAGGACCCCGACCTTGCCTTGCTCTCCATCAACACCATCCAGAAGTCGCTTTCCGATTCCAACCCCCAAGTGCGCGCCTTGGCTCTACGAACAATGTCCAACATACGGGTTCCCGTCATCAGCCAGATTGTGTCGTTGGCCATCAAGAAGGGCGCCGGAGACATCAACCCCTATGTGCGCCGAGCCGCTGCCTTGGCAATCCCCAAGTGTTACCGACTCGACCCATCCCAAATGCCCTCACTGCTCGAATATCTCTCGACTCTCTTGGGCGACAAGCAATATTATGTGGCAGGTGCCGCCGTTACAGCCTTTCTGGAGATCTGCCCGGACAGACTGGACTTGATACACAAGCATTACAGGCAGTTGGTCAAGATGGTGGTGGATATGGACGAATGGAGCCAGCTCTCGACACTGCGACTTATGACGGTTTATGCGCGAAAATGCTTCCCTCGACGAACCCGGATTGTGAAAGCCCAGGACAAGGCGGCCGATCTTCAAGACTTTTACGGTGATAACGCCGCCGCCAGCTCGAATGATGACGCCGAGGGCCAGGAGGTGATTGTTCTCGACCCTGATCTTGAGCTGCTCCTCAACAGCATCAAACCCCTCCTCCAATCACGAAACTCAGGCGTTGTGGTTTCGGTAGCACGCTGTTACGATGCGGTAGGCACGCCCGAGTATGTCAAGACAGCCATTGGGCCATTGATAGCCTTGCTACGAGGCGCTCAGGATATCCAACAGGTTGCACTCTACAACATCGTATCCATTTGCCTTACCCGGCCTGCCGATTTCGTGCGCTATGCCTCGCATTTCCTAGTGCGTGCAACGGATACACAACCCATTTGGGAACTTAAGCTGGAGCTTTTGACTCTCATCTTCCCACATGCTCCTCTGCATGTCAAGAGCCTTATTCTCAACGAGCTTGAGCACTTCAGCCGAGGAACCGATAAGGCGCTGGTTAGGGAGGCAGTTAGGGCTATTGGCCGCTGCGCGGTAACAGACACAGCAGCTGCACCTAGGTGTCTGCGGTTGCTTCTCAGTCAAATCACTAGCTTGGACGGCACGCTGGCCGCAGAGAGCTTGACAGTGATACGACATCTAATCCAGCAGGACCCGACTGCACACGTCGCTACCGTCGTAAGGCTGGCAAAGAACTTGGACTCGGCCACCGACCCACACGCTCGTGCCACCATTATCTGGCTAGTAGGCGAGTTCTCTGGTCTCAACGGAGAAGAGAACATCGCCCCTGATGTGCTTCGGATCCTGCTCAAGGACTTTCCCTCCGAGTGCGAAATCGCCAAACGACAAATCATCCTTCTCGGCGCCAAAGTCTACCTACACTACCTCAACCGACAGATTGAAGCATCACAAAATGCCGATGGCGAACCGGGTCCTCCACCCAAGCTTCTCGAAGACGACGACCATCCAATTGCAAAGCTATGGAGTTATGTGCTCCTCCTGGCTCGATACGATACCTCTTATGATCTCCGTGATCGCACTCGTCTCTACAAAGCCTTGCTCGGCGTACCCCAGCTCGCAACCCTCATGCTGCTCGCGCCTAAGCCTGCGCCCCAAGCGCAAAGTCCCTCGGAGATGAGGCGTGGGTATACCCTTGGCTCTTCAGCCCTGGTCCTCGCCGATGCCGCCGGTGTTCACGGCGTCAGGGGCTACGAGGACTTGCCCGATTGGGTCGAGGAGGGCAAGCAGCCGGATCCGAGACTGAGAGAGACAGGCGTGCCACCAACCGCAACGTACGGCAAGAAGAGAGTCGTGCCAGCTTTGGAGATTTTGGACGGTGGGTCGTCTAGATCAGTGCCTACGAAGGCTAATGGTCTGGGTGAGGGAGTAGGCACCAAGACACTTGATGATTGGCTTGCGGAGGAGGAGGATATCAGTAAGAAGGCGGTGCCAGTGTCAGCACCTGTGCAACGGCAGGTTGTGGAGGAAAGTGAAGAGGAGGATGAGGAAGAGGAAACCACTGAGGAAGAAGAAGATGATGAAGAAGAAGAGGAGGAGGAGGAGGAGGAGGAAGACGATGAAGAAGAGGAAGAGAGTTCATCGGAAGAGGAGTCTGATGATGACGAGGCTGAAGATGCGAGGCTGATGGGGGCTTGACATTCAACTACTTAATGCCAATATGGAAGGAATGGTCGACTGACACAGATGAATTCCTGATAATTCACGATATGCAAGCCATGCTGCTTCTGTTCATCCTGGTCCTCCCCATAGTCACGAGTCCATAATTCCCTTCCGAATTTTCCGACACATCCTCTTTTCTGTCCAGAAGAAGAAGAAGGGCATCAAGTTGTATTCTTCCCCTGTACAAGAAAACATCCAATCTGAACGTTGTGCTATGCAATGTTACAAATAATACCGCTTAGTTCCACTCGATACCGACCAGCCTCAGGGAAATGGAAACAACAAGATACACATCAAGTACGACGAGCACAAAGAGCGTCTTTCGCGATACGCTTTATTCACAATTTAGAAAAGGAGTCGCCATGTATTACTTAATACGGCCCTCCTGTCGCTGTCCCGTTTTTGTTCATCCCCGAATTTGGGACGCGGTTAATGGGGACACGTTCGGACACGTCCCGGTTTCCCTGTCCTGGGTTTTGGAGGCCAGAGTTCGGGACTAAGCTTATGGGGTAAATACATTGGTTACTTCCGCGTTAAACACCTTCACCTTCCTCAGATGAAGATGGATGTCATACCCCGTAGCGGTCACCTATCCTTTTGGCTGGCCACTGCCTCAATCCCTGCCCACATTCGTTTGGTTGACGCTGTCGTCCCAACAACAATTATGTATGGATTGGGAATAACTTCACGAACGATTGGATTGTGAGAGGTGATCAATTTTGTTCCTGATCTATCCAATCCATCATCTCTCCCGGGTCGAGGAAGAACGATGATGTTCCAGTTCAGTTTCCACTCCTTCCTACATAAAGAAGCATTCAAGTTGAGACGCATGATACAACCAACCGCACAGTCCCTCGTATGTATTGCCTTGCCTTCTTTCTGAATGCCGGTAATCCGTCTTCCTTTCCCTCCGCCGCAATTGCCATCCTAGCCTCATTGTTGCTTTCCATTCCCTAAATCCGGTCAAGTAGGTAACTCCGCAGACCCACCACCACCAGCAGGTCGGTCTGCTAGATTGTGGGAGGTTTGCAAAATCCCCAGTCCTCCGCCTCCGGCATGTACCACCCGTCTCACCCCTCCCACACCCAGGTCATGAAGAAGAAAGCGGACAAGAATGATGAGACTGACGGGGAGAGGAATAACCAGAGGAGAAGAATAATCAGGCGAGAGAAAGAGTACGACTGGACGCTCGTGACGAAGACGGGGTCGGCGCGTTACTTCTGCGCCGCCGTTCCGCCATCTCCTCATCATCCTCTTGCTGTTGCAAATACTTTTGCTGCTGCTGCTCCTCCATGTTTTCTACCGAGTTGATCGCCGAACGCCAGTCGAGGGCGTCAATGAGTTCGTAGTCGTTGCCGCCGCCAGCCGCCACCACCCCGCGCCCACGCACGTATTCACGCACGCTGGAAAAGATGGAGACGATCCCATACCCAATCATGCCTATACCTCCAAAGACGATGAACATGATGAGGCAACTAAGGATCATTACCACGACTATAGCCGCCGGGCTTATGGCGACGAAGAGCAAATCGAGGAAGAATGAATCTGAATCCATCGTGACTTGGGCGTGGACAGAGGCTTGACCGCGGACTGGAGGTTCTGGTGTCGGTAATGTGGTTGGGTTTTCTTCGCTTGGATGTAACGAAGACGAAGCCTTTTCGATGGAGAAAGTTAGCTAGAGTCAAAAATAAACTGGCTATGAGACGGAGATTGGAGGGTGTGGTACTTGGGCTTGATTCCGTCAGCTTAGACGATCTGTTGGCTTAAGGGTATGGTTGTTGCCTGATGTTTCTTGAGGTAGATGAAGAATGATAATAGGAGAGGACAGAGGACTGGGGGATTAAGTATTATTTATATCGGTCCCTGGAATTGGGAAATTCCTGGGCCATACTTCAAGAGTTCTCCTCTTGACGCAGGTTGTCAATAATAAGTGCATCTTCGGGTCAAATATGTGTTCATATATTCCGGAGTTCCTGATGCATGACTACAGTTTTCATGCCCGTCGAAATGAAACCCCCTTTTTGACCCAAGTCCAAAAACATGATGGCATGAGGTGAAGCCGAATCAGGGCTCGTATGTGTTTTTGTAAGCACTTTTTGGAGTCCAAAGTATAAAAAAATGTTAATTACATATGCTAGACGCACTGGCGGTAGCGCTACAGATATTAGAGATCATCATAAAATGGAGGGGAAAAAAAAAATGTACGTCCGTCCCGGAGATCCGGGCTAGGATATTTCGATGAACATACATAAACAGATGGTTGGTCTGTCTGTGTGACGGGAAGCCAGAACGCAACGTCGTCTGCAACATTGGAAGTTCTTCTAGATGACAGACATACGAATACGCAGCAGTGATGCAGACAACTGTTGCGATATATCTGTGAGTGTCGGGTTTCGAGAATGTATCGGAATATTTTGGCCAGTTTACCAACGTTCATGAATGCAGGTAGAAAGTTGGAGGCGGAACGGACATTTGAGTATACCTTCCTATACTTATATCTGCCAGAATGGTGGTGGAAACGTAAATCAAGATCACTAAATCATGGCATCATGCTATCCGTAACGTGTCATGTCTTCTTTGGCAATTCTGGTGGACTATTAAGTGTGAAGAAGTCCGAAATTGTGAATTTGAACGTACATCCTACTTTATCAAAAGTACAGATTAAGCTGTAATGCTATGTATGGTATCGAGAATGGACTCGGTGTTTGGGTATGGCGAAATCCGGAGCCAAAAGCACGTCCAATATATGGAAAAAAAAAAAATTAAAAATAAGAAGAAGGAATTAAAATGGAGACGGCGGAGGACGATCAGAAGATGACGATATGGCATGTGAATTGACCCCAGAAACCGCAGTTGAGGTGAGTCCGTCTGGAACACTGAGTCTGGAACAGGCTTCCCAGGTCTTGCTGGTGTCAACATACTCCCGGCTGCGCGAGGGATTTCGAATCAGTTGCGTGGGTTTATCGGCATATGGAAGTTTTTAACAGTTGGTGAAACTATAACGTAGCTCTGAGCACGGAGAGGCTTAGGATTGTTGGAGAGGTAGTTGCGCACGAGGGACGAGACTGGACAATCCAGAACTCGGGCATCTCGTCCCCAGTGCTAGTAACAGGAATGGCGACGAATGATAGTTCAAAGCATGGGTATAGGGTTGCTTGTCTCCTTGTTTAACCAACTAAAAGCAGCTGAACTTTAAGAGTCGGCTATGTTCCTCCGCATAGAGGGCCTAGTTGATGATGAGAAGAGAAAGTGAGTGGGTTGTTCTACAGCGCCAGGACTGCCTGGGTGGCGTCGACGGAATGAATGTAGAGGTAAGCACGTTGGGTGATGACATATTTAAAGACATTGGTTGACCGAAACCGATTAATAAACGGCGGCAGGAGGCAGATGGTTCAGGGAGACGGCTGAGCAGACGCAGATTCTGGAAACTGGAAAGAACGCTCGGTAGTGAAATGGCCGAACTGTGGCCCGTCTCGACGTCGTCGGTATTTGTATCATAGTAGTCCATTCCATGTATCCGCTTCGCTACTGACAGTACCGCCGATGGTGGTTGAAATGAAAACATTGCCTGGAATTTCTCTTGTGCGATAAGTGGCCACTGAGGCATGGTAGTGTAGTTTATCCGTCGCTCTTGAGTCTGGCTTCCGCTGCAAATCAGGACATCAATTTCAACCCGGTTTTTATGCCTTCATGGCTTTCTTTTTTTTCCAGCAAGACAACCAAGTCACCCTCGTCCTTTCCTCTCCATATAGATATGCCGTCTTGTCGGGATTCAAGGCCGCCTCAAGATTGGAACGCGATTGAAGGAGCGCGCTGAAGCGGGGTGCTTGAGGGAAAGGGCGAAGGATCGATAATTGACAAAGTGTATCTTGGGTAGGTAGAGGTACCTAGGCGTAGGTTGGATCATCGCCGCCGACATTCGGTGTGATCAGGATAACCTTCCTTGATGTGTTGTGATATTTCGAGTATTACATGCAAGGATGATGGAAATGGTTTGAAGTGACTGTTGGAAAATGAAAATGGGCTCGGATATTGGCTGCCGAGATGCATTGCCGTACAGACAGAGAGCTTGCCGATAGCGACTTGATGAGTATTTCCTGTACCTGGAGTTAGCAGAACCCAACGACATGAGCTGCATCATGCATGACGGAGATTGTTTACTTTAGTCATATGACAATGTAGCGATTTTGCCGTAAGGTTGACTAGGGCGGAAGCATTTGTAGAATCCTCATCGAGACATCATGAACAATCGCCGGGACATCAGTATGACTACTCCTGGTCAAGAAACTTGTCTTCGGTCCATGGGTGGAGGTGTGTAAGCAAAAGACACCAAAGACACAAAAAGCACAAAGGAAACGCATCGAGAATTTTGTTCAGAGCTCCATGAAGTAATGCCAATGGGTTTAAGTTGCATTGTGTATACCTTCCATGAATTTTCCTTTCCTGGATACCCCTATCCTTCCTTGGCCAGCCTCTATTTTACTTTCCTCAAGACAACGTTGATGCCCAGCAATGGCTTCTTACCTGTGGCACCACGTCTCGGTACGGTTACCTTGGCGCTGGTGTTGACCATCGACGGAAGAACCGCGTCCAAAACCATTCCTTGTTCTCAGGCACCGGCTTGCTCTTCTCGCTCTTCTGTACGGTGGTCCATCTATCCCAAAGGTAATCCCCTTCCAACCACAGTGCTCTTGCAAAGTAATCTGTCACGAGGTCATTCGGCGACAAGGCATCATAACAGTCCAAGAAGTTTGTTCGGAGCCCCATGTCAATCCACCTAACATCACCCACTTCTGCCAGGTGTCCAGAGAGGATGTATGTCACATCGGCAAGCTCTCGCTCGGTGGAAGAGCTCTTGATCATGCAAAGCTTGTCATGCAAGAGGTATCCAAGCTTCAGGCAGTTGTACTGCTTCTCGGATGAGAGGGGCGAGGAAACGAGATCCCTTTCCTGTTCAAACTCCTCGGGTACTGGCAGAAGGCTTTGATCAAGGTTCGTGTCGGGTGAGTGCTCATGGCCGACAAACCGGAGATCGACTCGTACCCAATGCGCAGCGTTGTCGTCGTTATCGAGATCACCGACTTGCACAAAAAGGGTCTTGCGTGTCATATCTTTGACACCTGACAGAAACACCGATGGCCGAAGGATCCTGTCAGGAGGCAGTGAGCGGCAAACCCAAATCAGAAAAAAAAATAAGAAGAAAAAAGGGGAAAAAAAGAGGAGTGGGCGTGAATCGAACGTAGGACGTGAGACAACTGGAAAGGAGTAGGAGAGCCTTATTTGCGTAGCCGGAAGACGCCAGCTGTAACACTAGCTGTCAGACGAGCCTCCTAGTACCATGTCCTAGTCCACATGGTACTAGAAGGCAGTTCACCCGCTCGTGACAGGTGGCAACTCCCCAGAACCCAGGCATTGCCCGGGCGGGGGGACGTCTGACAGCCCCTACGGTCGGGTTGAGAGGTGTGATGCGTCCACCACGCCGCTCGACCACGAGCCCACTGAATTGTTGAGAACCTGGTCCGAACCCATGACTTATCAACCAGCCTTGGCAGCAAAGATGAGATGAAAAGGGGTAGCTGATGCCTACCTCAGCTCGTCCTTGAAGACGGCGAGCCATGCGCTCTCGTCAATGTTGAGCAAGGATAACGGGACTGCCAAGTCAACATTCTGACGAACACCCTGCATTCCCCGAAGTTGGAGAGAGAAACCTCCCATGACAGCGGAAGGGATGTTTTCCTTATCGAGTATGTCTGTGACGATGTCTAGCGCAGCGACTAGCTGGCTTGTTCTTGCACCTTTGCTGGATGAGTTGAGTATCTCCCACTCACGGCTGCCACAGTACTCCCCTGGTCTCAAGGGGGGCGGTCGGTCAAAGTAGTCTTCGATAATGACAAGACTGCTTTCGGTGGACGGACTAGCATCATTGTCCTCCGGAGATTCAATGAAAAGGCTGTTCATACCAAGACTACGTTCGGTAGACTTCGTCTTTCTTCCAAATTGCCAGAGAGTCGTCTCAAATCCTGTGGTAGTGTTCCGTTCAAGGTGTTTGTGATAACGTCGCCGCACGCAGATGTCCACTCCTTCGGGGACAGGAACAAGAAAAACCTAGAGTATCAGCATATTCTTATGCTAGATAGTTGGTCGTATTTGGGATAGTCATCCTCGACCTCGTCACTATCATGAGTAGGCCTCTCGACTAACAGGTGCTGAACGAGAACACATGGTTCGATGCTCTTGATGAACCATTGACGCTGTCCACCATGGATGGTATTTATGCATGTGATAGGATGAGACATCAAACTGTCTAGATCCTCTCCACGGCTTGAAAAGGTTCAATCATCCACTGCATAGATGTCTTCCGTTGTCCAAGTCGTGTTTACCTTCCTATTCCTCATCCTGTTAGTAGCTCAGGGGTTCCTTCAAAGAGTGTCCGGCAGAGCTGCACTAACACTTACACCAGAAAGAAGCTGCCAGGTGCCGGTGGATCTTGCACCAGGTAGACGCTGGAAAAGGCCCCACTATAATGAAGCGATTGGCCAATCACAAATATCGGATTCCTGTCCGCTCAATCGTTGCCGAAAAAAAGGACGTTCCCAGCACGCCGCCAATTCCAACGTCGACTCGTCGACCAACCTCCATCAACTTCCACTTTATGAGGTTTGCCACGAGCATCACCAACCTCGACGGTACTTAGTCATCCCGACCCATCTACATGCGTAGTATTGAAGAAGCCCATCTTCCTTTTCATTGTCTCACAAGGAAAAACCATAGCTGTCCGTCTCCTTATCTACTCCAGGCCATTGCCACTGACGTACACCGGCGCACATCAAGCTCGCTCCCGGTTGGCAATTCCATATCGTCCATTTTACAAGCCATTTCATTCAAGGAGGGAGAAAAAAATACTGCCGTCTGCAAGCACACCATGGCCGAAGCTGCCGAAGACCCACAGGACTTTGCCAAATCCCCGACTGCACCGAGCAGTCACCTGCATGAAATATCCTCCGGACCTCAAAGCAAAAAACGCAATGCCTTTGCTGAGCTGATGGCGCCCAAGCCCAAGGCAGCCAGGCCAGACGCTTCCTCGAGCCGGTCACCAGCCGGCATTCCTTCCCCTGCGCACAAGAGAACCAAGAATTCGGGAGGTAAAACAACAAGGTCAAAATGGAGCGGTGCCTTGCTCGAGTACATAGACCATCCCGACCGCTTTCCCCAGCAGGTTATTCGCGTGACGGACAAGACGGTGCTAATCCGTGACGGCTTCCCCAAGGCCACCGTCCATCTTCTGCTCATCCCCCGGTCCCCTGATCATTACGATCTGCATCCGCTCCAAGCTTTCCAAGATAAGGACTTTCTTGCCATGATGCGAGACGAAGCTGCCAGCGCCGCCCGCCTCGCTGCTGCCGAGCTCCAACGCAATATATCAACCTTTTCTGTATCGAGCAAAGCACGCAATGAAGCCATGGACAAAGGAGTTCCTTTCGACCAACTTCCGCAAGGCCGGGATTACCTGTCAGACATCCGTATCGGCGTGCATGCTCATCCTTCCATGGACCATCTTCACGTGCACATCATATCGCGCGACATGCATTCAGACAAGCTCAAGCATCGGAAACACTACAACAGCTTCAACACGCCCTTTTTCATTCCTCTCGAGGATTGCCCGCTCGCCGAGGATGACGAACGACGCAATACATCCTTCCAGAATGGAAACCTGGCCAAGGGATTTGTTTGTTGGCGCTGTGGACAGGAATTCGGCAACAAATTTGCCGAGCTCAAGAGGCACCTTGAGACCGAATTTGCGCACTGGAAATCAGAGTAACCTCTAGGCTGGGATGGGAAACCTAGATTTATGTGGTTCTGACCGCACCAAAACGGGAGCTCTGCGTATTCTGCGTCGATACGAAGCACTTCGAGCATGCAAGGTATGCAGTGGTGCAGTACCTCGGCTGGCCATGCGTCACCACTGCTTGTTTCTTTTCGCCCGAGAGAGTTGGAGTCACGCAGTTGGAGGACATGTCCCCACAACAAGAACGAGAGAAGACACTGACAAAAACCTCCATCATCGACTGTTCCCCGCATCGGGTAGTTACGCCAACCCAACTAATTGTGATGTGTTAAAACACCAAAAGAAGGAGTTGGGGCCACCAATGGGCACTTTACTGTTTCCAGTTCCTGAAAGCCGACAGCAAGCGAGGCACTTACCCTTGTTCCCGATTGAGATGTCCAAGGTCCCTACTTACCCGCTTGCTCGGTGTTCGGGGATTTCTCTACTAGTAATGCTGCTTGTTTACGTTCATGTTTACACTGTTGGACCTTCAGCGATGATGTCGACTTGATGTAGAACAGTGGGCAGCAATAGATATCTATACAAGAATGGCCAGGATGCCACTCAAGACCTTGGCCCTGTTATGGAGGCTTCCCTGCAACAGTCATACTCCGCGCACCACACCAACACTTCGACAAGAAACCGAGAAGTTGGCCTTTCTTGGCCAGAACCGTATTCGTATTCCTGTTATCCGCCTGCGCAGAGGCGTCAAGAAGTGTCTGATCTTGGAAGTTGACGCAGATTGGGGATCGCCGACACTCGACAACAAGGACGGTGCTGGCATCATCAAGTTATTTGTGGGAAACAAGTGAGCACCCCTCCCTAACATGTGGCCGCTACTCTTCAGCTTGCAGTCCGAAACTGCCTCACGCTACCCGTATGGCCCCCTTTGGCCTTGGATCTCACGATGTACGTACTCGCATGACGCGGCTCGAGCAAGGAGTAAGAGGGAAGCAGTGAAGCTGATGATAAAATGTCAGACTTCGCCAGTATGCCTGTTCTACAGGAGTTTGGTTCTGGCCTCTTTGCCAACACCACATTTACTCATTTCACCTCATCGGCACCGCACTTTTATGCCACGTCAAACTGTGATCCAGGAATCATGAGAGTGGCTTGCTTATCCTACGTCTGGTTAGCGTCCATATTGGGCCTTGGTTTTCGAGGAGGAGTGGCACCTGCGATAGCGTCGTTGGCTCCTTGCATGGGCCAGTCTGACCTATCAGTGACAGTCCTGGGAGGCGTAGTTCACGGAATTGTCAACGAGACCGAAGATCCGTGTGTACGCCAGTTTCTGGGTATCCCTTTTGCTCAACCCCCTGTAGGAGACCTTCGCTTTGCCCCGCCACAGCCTGCTGAGCCGTTTGGTGAACTCGATGCCAAGAAGCTTCCCCCAAGCTGCATCCAATACCTTTCCACAAGCCCGCCCTCCATCTATACTCAGTACCTGAACGAATTCAACGTCCAGGGTCTCAATACCACCAGCCCTGATATCAGCGAGGACTGCTTAACTCTCAGCATCTGGGCCCCACCAACTACCACCGACGACAGTCTCCCCGTCATCGTCTTCGTCTACGGCGGCGCCTTTAGCACAGGAGGTCAAGACGTCCCCGTCCAGATCCCCACGGACTGGGTACAGCGCACCAAAAGCCACATCGTCGTCACCTTCAACTACCGCCTCAACATTTTTGGCTTCCCCAATGCCCTGGGCATTCCCCTGGACGAGCAAAATGTCGGCCTCCTCGACCAAAGACTCGCCGTAGAATGGGTCCAAGACAACATCGAGGCCTTTGGCGGTGACCCGACACGCATCACCCTTTGGGGCCAAAGTGCCGGTGCCGTGTCCGCGGGTTACTTCCAATATGCCTACCCTATGGACCCAATCGTGAACGCGGTCATCATGGACTCCGGCAGCGAGCTGACACCGGTTGCTCAAAACCTCGACTTTGCCCATTTCGGTTTCACTCGTATCGCTGGCCAGTTGGGTTGCGGCAACCTCTCGGCGGCAGAGGAGCTGGCGTGTATGCGCTCTGACAGTGTCACGGCAGAAGCCATCAACAAGGCTGTGCAGACTACCAATGAGGCGGCGGGGACGGACATCACCAAGTACGTCTTTTTTACGCCGGTGGTGAATAATAGAACGGTATTCCCGGATTATACGGCCAAGTCCTTGGCAGGGGAGGTTGCCAATGTTGTAAGTTGTTCCCTCCCTGTTGAAAGATCATGTTTCCAGACAAGTAAATAGACGATGGATAAGAGACTAAGAACTGGACTTGTTTCAGCCCACAATCCTCGGCAGTAACGCCCAGGACGGCCTCGCCTTCGTCATCCTCAGCACTGCCGTCAACCAAACCGAAGTTTTCGAAGCGACATTAGATCTCTTCTTTTGCCCAGCCTTCAAAGCGGCCACGTAAGCTAACCATGGCACATCATTTCTCACCCCTTTACCTCAGTATCCATCACCCAGCCCAGCCCAGAACCTACTCTAACCTCTCACCACACACAGTAACCGCCTCCTAGCCTCCGTCCCCGTCTTCCGCTACGAATACTTTGGCAACTTCACCGATGTTTCGCCCCTCCCCTTCCTAGGTGCCTACCACGGCGCCGAACTCCCCCTTATCTTTGGCACCTACGATATCTTTCCCGAAACTTCGACCCAGTCGCCGCCGCCGGACAAAAAACTGGAAGTTGCCACGAGCCGTACGATTCAGAATGATTGGGTGGCTATTGCAGCTAACGGGGCTGACGGGCTAGAGGCGAGAGGATGGCCTCTATATTCGAGTGTAGAGGAGGGGTTAATTAGGACCTATGGGGTCGCTGCGCCGGTTGAGTCGACGGGGGATGAATGGGGTTCAGGGGGCGCAGGGAGTATAGGGGGTGTACCGGCTGGGGTGGCGGATGCGAGGAGGATTGAGGCGTTGTGTCCTGCGATTTGGCAGCCGGCGGAGGTGTCGGAGTGAGGGGGTGGGAGGGATGAGGAATATTTAATGGAATTGGGACAATTAGACTAAGGGATGGGTTGGAGGGCATAATTCGAATGATTCGGGAGCAAATAATCAAGAAAGGGTTACGGACACGGTTGAAAATAGGTCCGTTCAAAGCATCTCCATTATAGGGCATTTTGTGTTTCACACTGCTACAGACTCAGAGCAGATACATGACACAGCGATAAAACAGATATTCATACTCAGGATACTCTCCAAGCCCTCCACGTCCTCCCATCTTCGCCGGATCATACAACCCTTTAGGACCCGCCCTGTATACAAACCCGTCGACCAACACGCGAACACGGGTCCAACCACCTTAAAATGCCCACTTTCACTTCCCTTCTCTTTCAAAACCATCGGCTGCCCAACCCCTCGTAAATTAGAGTAACCACAACCCCTTGCCTCATCCCACGTTTTGCACAAACCCATCATCTTGTGGAAAAGCAGCCTCGTATCACCAGAAATGCGTTCACGGACATTATAAGTAATCTTTATTTTATTTCATTTTCTTTGAAAGGAAAAGTCTTCGGGGCCGCAAAACCTCGTTGACGAGTTCTTCTCGCGCGTTAGGGTTGTACATGCACGCGGACTGACCACCGTTGGGAATCTCGTTCCAGAGGTGGAAGTCATCGTTAACTATGACGTGACCTTTTTCATGTTGATGACGGATTTGGGGGTTAAAGTTTAGTTGTGGGGGGCTGCTGCTGATCGAACGGGTAGAGCGTCTTGAAGATGACAGTGAGTTGAATTGATGGAATTGAACTGATAGGGAGAATTGGAAGGCGCGTAGAGCTTGATGGCTGATACTAGCTAGGCAGGCGTCGATGGTTAAACCAGCGGAGGAGATGAACATCATGATGCTGGGAGGAAGGAAGCAAATCTGGCCGGAAAGGGGGGATGGAGAGATTGGAAGGGAAACACACCTAAATCTTAGCATTCTAAATGTCAGTCGCGCCTGCCGGCCAATTCACATTCACCCAATCAAAACAGTTGCGCGGTGTTTCAAACTGCCTGCCCTGTGTCCTTAGGTACTTACCTAGGTATGTAACACAGAAGGATCATTTAGGCGTTGTTTGCTTAGTGACATATTGATGCCCAATTGGAAGAAGGGAGGCCTGACGGTGTTGTAGGAAGGAGCATCTTTCTCTTGAACTCCGACCGCGCTCTTGCAACGTCAGTCTTTTGTCAAGGTACTTTCCTTCTTCCTGAACTCAGACATGAAGACAACCGCCGACTCCCTCCACCGACAGCTCCAACTGACCACGCCCAGAATTACGAGTCTCATCCAGAACGTCCACCATGAGATCTCGTGTCTTGACTCATTCTCCGAGATCCGCCAACGTTTCACCCACACCGTCTTTGTGCGCCTCTCCGACCTGGACCGCTACCTCGTCCAGGCCGTCCTCCTCACTCCCAGCCCCTACATTGACTTGTCCAAAGACAACGAACAAGAAATTGATGAGGTCAGCCGTCTTTTGTTTCTCAGGTGGTCATGGGCCGATGCGGTTCTCCGCAATGTCCTTGCCTGCCTGATTGAGTTCGTTGACCACAACACTCCAGGATGTGTTATCGCCGATACTGGACAAGTTGATGCTCTTGCTGAAGAACTTAGCATACGCCATGATGAGAGGTTCCCTGGTGATAGACGCGAGAGGAGAGTGGAGCAGCTGATCCATGATGAGCTCAACGAGGACTTTTTCGAAGGAATGAGAAAAGGTCCATGGAAACTCAGTCGAGAGTTGGCCGACATTACTATCGCTCCGCATCCGGACGATGTCCCGATATGGAGGCTGGTGGCGCGCCAAGTGACAGACAGATACCGTCCTTGCCTTCGTTGGCCAGGCGTACACTTTGCAGCAGCCAAGGCCGGGTTCTACGAGGACGTTCGACGAGATCTGTTCGAACATCCTTTCTACGAAGAATGGTGGAGTGAAGCCTTCTCCGCCATTCCATGTGCAACACCCTCAGAAGAATCGAGTACAGAATCACCCAAAAATGACCGAACTGAGCTGGAAAGGGACCTTCGCGCTGTCTTTGATGCTGCAGATGTTTGGGACGTCTGGACTCTGTGCCGTGTGTGGCTATGCGAGGAGGCCCTTTGGGGTGTTGATCAGGAGCCAGGCACAGCAAGAGACTTTGCGTACTTGGAAAGTCTGGAAATGTTCAACAAGCACTGGATACGCAAAACACAACAGGTGGCAGCGCCTGCGAGAAATATGTGGGATTCCGACAACGAGTTTCTGCAGCGAAGACACATTCAAGGCTCTCTAGAGGTATGTACTGTGGAACCCTCAACCGGGAGAAAAGTACCCCATGGTCAGTGTGATGGCAATGCTAATTTAGTCCTTCTGAGAAGAACGATCCAGGGTACAGAGAGGTGAGGACCCCCCTTATGCTGCCATGTCTCACTTTCGTCGCTTTCTTTAGCTCACCATAGCACCTCAGCATGAGCAGCTCCTAACCACCTACCTTGCTCTAAGATGCTCTGCGCCAATTCCAGAGCCTAAAGAGTGGTTCTTCTTTGCATCCTTTGGCAATTATCACTTTTGGGACATCACTGACCAGAACATCGTATCAGGGCTTCTGGAAAGTGCGAATTTCGACCCCCAAAGCCAAACCTGGGACCTCGTCTGCATGTCAGAGTCAAGAAGAGACCAGGAGTACAGGATATCCAACCTCACTCATATCATGCACACCATCTACCTGACCGACGACATGCAGGCACAATGTTTCGATGGATATCACCCCTCTGGACTTTGCCATCCATGCAGCTGCCAAGCAGCTGTCGAAGAAGGTGAAAGATCAGAAGAGAACACGAAGCAAGGGAAAAGGTACCAGCCAGAACATTACAAGTGGAATCACCGGGGTGGAAATCTCGTATTCAATCGGCGCAAGCTGAAGGACACGGATGTGTGTAAGAACCTGGACAAGGCCTGGTCTGATTGGGTATGCTGTCTTCCTCGTTCTTGCTGTCTTCGCCTACGCTCTCTGCTATGTGGCTCATAATAACACCCAACAGAACGACTGCTTCCTCATCCGCGGTCTTGACCACGACGATGACTTGAACCTCATCGACCGAGATACTATATACGTCCTTGAAACACTTCCAGGCATTAGGGCGCGACTGCTCAAAGCAGTAGAGCAGGAAGGTGAACACGATGGTCTTGAGACAGCAGACGGCCCCCATCCGAATCAGCCAACAAGGGTCTCAGAGAGGAGAAGTCAAGTCAAGGGCTCCAGGAGATGTCATAACCCGTCTTAACCTTCGTATTGTCCAAGTCCCGGCAGGCAGGCAGGCAAGCAGGCAGGCCAGCAGGCAAGATAAAAGGTTAAGTTGACTGGTCCCACAAATACACCACCACGACCACTTAGCCTTCTGGAACTAGCAGCAAAACCACAAATTGGCCGAACGGTGGATGCTGGGCCCCCTTCCTCCCATGGACCACTGCAACCCATTTACCTACAAGTATGCATGTGTCAAACATGTACGACCAATTTGTATGTGGAACACAAAACACATTACATGCATGGCCAAACTGCCGTGTCTCCAAGACCACCGTCTTCAATAGGTTACCGAATCGAGGTTTGGAGGGCAGGTGGTTAGGGACGTTTACATGGTGCCACAGGCAACGTTCGTTGTACACACCTCAACAACAAACGGGACAATTGATAACGGGGAAAATAGTCAACAGTGTATGACAGACACTCAAGTTCTCTCCCTCCTTGGTGCGACGGTTACACGGGTACCAACAGATGCGCCTTCGGTACTGGATTGTGGAACATCATGACCTGGGGGCTGTTGGGTTCAAGGCCAGGGGCTCATGGGTCATGGAGAGGGAAAAGGAAACACTGTGGATGATAACATGATTTTTTATGCCCACGGTGGTAGTACGGGAGGTAAACGACGGATACCTCGCTGGATATGCCGGAAGCCATGACCTGGAGTTGGGGTTGGGACAAGGCTGTTGCTTCTGGAGCCGAAGAAGAGGTGAAGCCCAAGGCGAAGGAAAGGGAGGATACCCTTGGGAAAGCTCTTGAGGACCGGTGATTCAACCAAAGCTTGCAAGGGCTCATAAGCCTAAATATGTTCGTCAGACTCGACATTGAAGAGGAAGTTCATACAGGGTTCATGGGGGAATAACATGTTTGATCGAGATCCCTGGCTTTACTCTCAGTAATTGTTCATGGGAGGGTAGGAGATGGAAAAAAAGTATAAGTATGGAAAGGATTGGACATTTTCCCCACGAGCCTCATCAGTACACAAGGACCAGTAGAAGCTGCAGTACTAGCTGCTAGTCTCGTTGGTCTATTGCTGTGGGAACACTCATTTGGAAACGTTGATTTGTTTTTGTTTGTTAGCCGAGTCTGTTTGTTGACATATATACATTTCCCTTTTACCAATCAGCACTCGCTTCTTTCTTTCCACATGCAGAGTATCATCATCATTTTTCACTTACCTTTTCTGACGACCCCCTGAATAAAAGGCATCACCATGTCCAGCGACAGCGAAGACTCGTGAGTCCTGGTTTTTGATCCTTTGAAAACCGCCAAGCAACCACAGTGATGCTAACACCTCATCAACACAGCTCAAGCTCTCTGTCCAGCGAGGACCGCTCCCTCATCGTCTACAACGAGTTCCTCAAAATCCAACACTCGCCTCTCCTCCAAGAGTATTCCATTTCCCGCAAGATCGCCCGCATCCTCCCGCTCCTCCCGCCACTCTCCACATGGGGCGTTATCGAAATCGTCTGTTACAAGCTCGGTTCCTTCTGGGACGTCTCGCCCACAGACCCCTCCTCGCCCACCACCACCTCCACCCTCCGGCGTGACCATGACAAGCGCGCCATGCTCCGGCACGAAATCGCTTTCGATCTCGTCCATTTTCTGACCTCCCCCCAGCTCAACCTCGGCCACCGCCTCAACCATGGCTACGGTCATGAAAGCAACAACGGCAACCCACCCCCCGAGCATGAAGTCCCCATCTACCCCGGCTGGGGCTTCCCTATCCCCTCCATGCCCGGTGTCTCGCAAGTGCATCTTGTCTTCCACGACACGCCCAATTACTCGGATGACGAGAAGCGGTACCTAGTCAGCCGGTCGGATTTTTTCCACGACGAGACCGTTTTTGTGGCTGTGTTTGACAGCGACACTCCCAATGAGGAAAGGGATATCGAGGGGATTGATCGCCATCAGATGCTCTGGATCGCGCCGAATCAGATGATTCCGATCATGCAGGTCAGGATTGATGGAAAGCAGCCGGCTGCGATACTGTGGAGGGATCAGGTTACAGATGGGTGGCATGATGTGGGGTGTCGGTTTGGTGAGGGGAACATCAATGGGGGAGGAGGAGGAAGAAGGAGGGGGTCGAGGGACGGGGGTCATGGACATGGTCGGCAGAGAGGAGGGGGTGGTGATGATGGACTGTGAGTTTTTTCCAGTCTCTCTTCCGCGATTTAGTCAAGTTTGTTGGTCGTCGTGGAGCTAACATTCAGTCACTATTGATAGCAGAAACCACCAACACCAGCACCAGCACCAACATCAACACCAGCATCAGCAGCAACCTATTCCGGTCCCACCTCACGAACGACCTATGAGCACTGCCTTCCCCGGTTACAAAAAGTTCTGCTTGGATCGCCATCCGGAGGACTCAAAGTATGCATTAAACTCGTCGGCTTTGTACATTCGGGCGGATATCGTGGATCAGAACTGGCCTATGGGGTATTATAATCATCACCATGGTCGTCAATGATCCTGTTGATGCCGAGTGGTTTAAAAGGGTGTCGGTCGATGACGACAGAAATACTCTTATGTAACGGTACAAGAGGGCGATGGGTGATGGGCCGAGTATGCCTGTGTAAATGATTTATGACTGTTTTTTATGACGCAGTAAAATTGGGTGTTTTGGTGCGGATTTAATTGCATAATTGAGGAGTGTCTTGAAAAGGACAACGGACCATTAACAGATCCGGTTACTGAGGAGGTGCGATAAGATAACGAAGTGCCACGACCCTAGTGCTGATCGTCACCTCCACCGTTGTAGGGCTGAAAGGGGGAAGTGGCGTCATAAATTACAGGACATTTACATTGACCAATACTGAACATCAACGACTTTCCACCTCTCCTCACTGTACCACCTCGGTTTAGGCATCATTTTAGCGAGAGGAGGCCTACCTACCTATTTTCCTCTCATCAAATTACGCGACAAAAGGTTGATAATTACCCAGGAGTGTCACATTGACGTTGCGTCTTGCTTGCCTAAAGGTTGGTGTGGGGTAACTCGGGGTACATGAACTGAGCTCCCTCCCCGCTGGATGACGTGAACCCCAGCAGCTAAATCCCCAACCTCACTTCTGCAAACCACATCGACAGAATCCGTCGCAAATTTCAACGCCATCAACATCCAGTGTAACTGCTCAAGGACCTCACGTATCAACTTAATCGAAACAAACCACGCCAACCACCACGATGGCGCCCCCATTAAGCCCCGCCGCCATCCTAGACGGCATGGCCGCCGCCCTCCCCACGCACGCCAAAGACGACACTACCTCGGACCTAAGCAGCTCCCTCGATGCCGTCGCCCTCTTTGTGCACGCAGCCATGACCTCCGTCGGCTTCCGCCTGATTGGCTTTTCCGAGGACAGCAAGCCCGAAGAACAAGCCGAATGCCAATCTCTCGCCCCGCGCCTGCCCAGCACATGGAACCGCAGCCTGTCTTCGCACTGCTTCGTCTACGCACACGAACAATCATCGATGCGCTACGTCATTCGCGTCGACCGCATGGGCTCCAAGATTGAGATCCGCGGGCTTGGTGTGGGCGACGAGCGGATTGCGCGGTTTGAGATCACGACTAGGGATTATGTGTCGGCTGCTGCTCTGCCCATTCGGATTCCTATTTCTGAAGAGACTGGCGAAGAGGACCGGAGTGACCTCCCTGAGAAGCTTAAAAAGGTGTTCATCTCGGACGAACGCATCGCTGACCTGGCGTCGCTGCTCAAGATTAACATCATCCAGCGCCTCGTCCCCAGTCTGCAGAAGGAAGGGTACGAGGAGAGTCCCGACCACCGTGCTGCAAGGCAAGATGCGGATGAAGCTGGTCGTCGCGCAGGCGGCTCTCGTCAACCTCCTCCCGGACCTCAACAGCCTTTGCATCCGCTCATGCCTGAGCCTGCTCAACCGTACCCTTACCCAGACGACCTCGAGCCGCCTGCCCGTCGCCCGATTCCGACTGGAGACTTCCCGCCTCCGGGCTTTGAGGACGAATACGAGATTAACCGCCACCCTCGCGGCGGCGGCCTGCCGGGCTTGGTGGGCGGACCGAATCAAGGAGGAAGAAGTGATTACGGGAGAAGTGATCTCTACCCAGCCGGTCTGGGACCGGATGATCCCATCAGGGGAACGTTTGCGCCGCCGCTTGGTGGACTACCGAGACCCGGAGGGAGAGGACCTGGTGGGTTCGGGACGGGTGGTATGCACCCGACTTTTGACGATCCGCTTTTCCAAGGTCCGCGAGGAGGAAGTGGAGAGGGAGAAGGAGGCTATGATGACCAAGCGCCGCCGGGGGCCAGGTGGGATCCAGTGGGTCCTGGAGGTTTACCGAGGTTTGGGGGGGATAGACCTGGACGCGGAGGAGGGAGGGGCTTTGGTGGAGGGGGCTTTGGTGGTTTCGGAGGGGATATCATTTGATTGAAGAGTGGCCATGGGAGTTCAAGGAAATCTTTCAGGGCTGAATCCATCCTGTGCTGCTACCTTTTCCTTACGAAAGATGAGTAGACGGTTATGAGACACACAAGGTACAGTGAGGCCTGACAAAAGAGAAGCTCAAGCTGTTGATAATGGGCGGTAATATGGAGGGTCGTATGATGCAGGACCACTGATAAGCATTTGTATTATATCAAAATGAAAATGGTTCAGTTGGTAATTTTCAAACACTAGACGTGATCTCGCTATGGGTGTACACATGCATTTCCAGTTTTGCGAAGGTTATTGAGGATATGGAACTATGCAAGCCGTACATCTTGATGAATTGTTATTATCATCAGATCTCACTGCCTCTCTCTGTTCACAGTCTTTTCTTTTGGTTTCCTCACTGTCATACTGATTGTCATCCATCCATCTTCAAGACCACTTCAGTCGCTCTCCAAATCAATTAGCCTTCACCAGAAAACTCCAGCCTTCCAAGACCACCCCCCAAGCCATCGACTTGCGCGCCTCAGCATTGTTCTCGACCTCACCGCCACCACCCTCACCTCCGGAGCCGTTATCCCCAAGGACGCTGCAACCACTGCTAGGCCGCGGTCGAGACCGAATCTTGTATCGAGGGCACCATCACCAACGCCGATGGAACCTCCTACACTGTCCTCACCCATCCCGCACTCAAGCGCTCCATTGGTCAACACGGCACATGTCTCAGCCAACAAAAGTAGGCGTCTCTGCTACTCCTACAGGACCTTGAACACGTGCGACGACACCATCAAGTCAATAAGATCAGCGTCGCCTCCCCTATAGAGAGACAGTGACTATCTCTCGGCCAGCGTTTTTGAGGCAGGATGCGATCCATGGTGTAGGCTCGTTATCACGCGTTCATGCGTATCCGGTATCGAGGCCACAAACGGTCAAGGCACCAAGGTCGGTAATAGCAATATCGCAGACCTAGTCAACCTCCCCATCAACACGTACCAGTCGGGCAGCAGGATTGGTGCTGAGAGAGTAACAAGTGGCGCCAGCTGGGGGGCCAGGACCCAGTGGGCTATTTCCTGCCTTCTGTATGCGCCAAGCCATGCTCATACACACTTGGACTGACACGCAATCCTCAGTGTGATGGCCAGATGCGCGCCTACAGCGTGAGGGCTTGAAATCAGCTGCGGCCATGGGTTTCTTCCCTCTTTCTATTTTCTTTTGTGGGGACCAGCTGTGCCAGTCTCATGCCGTAACAAAAAAATGGCGCTTCCACAGCCTCCGTGATGTTCATTGAATGTGTCTGAAAAAAGGTGGCTTTTGTGAGGTTCGGGGAGGTCGGTCTTCTCTTGAGCGCAAAACGGTGGTCATACAGGCGTTTCTGTTGGTTTCTCCCCCTTGCGCGGTGCCTGGCCAGAACACCGCCGAGGATCATATTTACGACAGATAAAGTCACCTGCGTTCAGATTGTGCTGGCCTACTTCTTCAACATTTCTTTCGCCTTGCCTTCTTCGAGCCAACACTCGAAGAACAAGGCCCCTGCCTCGACAGACCGGATTGGAGTTGTCTTGACACCTCCAACATCTGCGCCTGGTTCCGGCTTTGAGCGAGAGGCAGGCTGAAGGTTAGGTTCGGAGGGAATCCACGCTTGGGGATGCTGAATTTCATAAGCAGATGTCAGCGTAAACCGCTCAGTCGGTCAAGTCAAGGGAGACAATCAACCTACCCCAATGGGAGCAAGGGCCTCATCTCTTAACTCCACGGCCACGGTAAAAGTACATCCCTCTGGCAGGGCATCCATCTTCTCGGCAGCATGCGCCATCCTTCGCAGTGCACCACGTAACTGCTCGTCGAGATCGGGCAAGCTCACTGTGTGAGCGGTGGGGAAATAGTATTCGTCGTCTCGACTGTCTTCGTTTCTGTGCTCTTTCGCTAAAGCTTTTTCAAAGGCTCGCATTGGCTTGGCACCACCAGGCCACGCGGGGAATCGGCTGACGTCAAACATCCAGCGTTCAAGAACCGAACCTGGTGGGATGGTCTGAGAGGATGCTGATTGTGTGGGATCAGACGACACTTCTGCTTCGAGAGGGGAGTGAATGACGACGGCAATGCGTGATACACGGCCCTCTGCAATCTGAGCGGCCACGGCTTTGACAGCATCGCGTATCCAGGAGCAGACCTTGGGATGGCGGTTCTGGTGCACCGGGAGGTTATAGGCGCGAGCAGAGAGAAAGGTAGGTTTCGGGTAGATTCCCCGGTAGTAGAGGATGTTGTGAATGGCGACAACGAAGAAGTTGTTGAAGGATTGTAACAGGACGATACTTGAATCATAGGGCAGTGGCTGAGAGGGCGGTTCTTCGTAGATTTCCTGACGGCGATATTGGTGTCGCTGACTAGACCGAGACTGAAGGGGAGAGGTAGGAGAGGAAGGGACCGGAGAAGACATGATTATCAGTGGTAGTTAATATCCAACTGGTACGGACAAGATGTTTCGTCACTTGACTTTGATGACTTGAACAAAAAATCATGGAAGATTAGATTAGTTCGAGTAGGTTGCTTTGAGTAGGCCAACGGAAGGGGCGAAAGAAAAGGGACTTTGTGAAAAGAGAATCCTGTGTGAAACAGGAATGATGGTCATCTGTTGTCATCACATCTCTCTCCACTTGCACCTACCCAAAGTCAAGATATTTCTTTGGACAGCGTGATGAGACGCGCAAGATTTGCGGAGAACAATGACCGCGTTTGGCAGGAACTGGAACCTTTTCAACGCCAAAGCAGGTGACGAGCCCCACCAATGCCCCGCCCTCTGAGATGACTGTACAGAATATGTGCATTCGCTCTTGTTAGTGTCGTCAGCGATGCCGATATTTCTGTAACATTTTCGCAAAGAAGCTCGACCCTTGGAAGTCCAGCTGCTTCTCCCCTCCTGCCACTCTTTTCGTCCATGATCTTCAGATAGCTTCCGCTCGCGTCCCGGACTATCACGACCTCCACCACCAGAGCCGTATCTCAGCAGGCGTGCCTGACCGCATCCTGTTGTTCACTCTGCCGACAAACTAAAGGCACCCGTCTCAGCAGCTTCGCCTTTTATATTTTCTTGAAGGACAACACTTCTCCCTTCTCTCGACTTGTGTAGTCCTTTGGGCACCTCGACATTTTTCCCGATTTCGATCCCATCCCGTCGCATACCATATACCCCCCCCGACCGGACCACCAAGGCTCATACTGACCTCGACTGAATTTTTGGAACTTCGACTTGATCATACAGCCTTGATCTCGTTATCGATACTCACAACTTTACGCGACCATCTCTTCCTTATACCCCATCTTGTAACGCCGTCACAATGGATCAAATGGAGCAACAACTGGCGCAGCTGCTTGCCAACACGCAGCTTCCCGACGAGGGCCCTCGCAAGCAGGCCGAGCTCGATCTCTCTCATGCCAAGGCGAACCCCGATTTCCCAATTGCGATTGCCCGCGTTGGTATCAACGCCTCGTTCCCCGTCAGCATTCGCCAGTCTGCCTTGACCTACCTGCGTCAGTTTATCGAGGACAACTGGAGCCCAGACGATGGCGAAGCCCCTCGCTATCCTATCTCCGATCACTACAAGCACGAACTCAGAGAAGTGCTGCTGGCCCTCTGCCTGGGAAGCGAGGGCGACAGAAAGGTCAAGGTCGCCACCAGTCTGGTCGTCAGCAAGATTGCTCAGGCCGACTTCCCCGACAGATGGCCTACCTTGCTACCCAGTGTTTTGGGTGTCATGCCCACCGGGACCGACGACCAGCTGCACGGCGCCTTGCGCATTCTTCAAGACCTCGTCGAGGAAAGTCTGACTGACGAGCAATTCTTCGGCACCGCGCGCGAAATCATCAAGGCATGCTACGATGTCGCCCTCAACAACGACCGCAAAAAGAACCACCGTGCCCTGGCCGTCGTGGTGTTCCGCAGCTGTTTCGATCTGATGGATATGGCCAAGGATGATCACAAGAAGGAAGTCACCAGCTTCGCCCAGGAAATCTTGGCCGGCTGGCTCCCCTTCATGGAGCTTGTCATCAACTCACCACTTCCTGACCGCGAAGAGGCCGGTTCCCAGCCCCAAAGCTGGTACGGTCCCATCACACTGAAGGTCCAGGTTGTCAAGACCCTGATCAAGATCAAGACCGTCTTCCCCTCTTTGCTTCTTCCCCACAGTCCCACCTTCTTCAGTGCCGTCTGGCAAGAGCTGTCGAGACTCCAGGACGCTTACCAGGACTTGTTCATCAACAACGAAGTTCAGAGCCGCCTGGAAGACAGCGATGGCCTACCCTATACCCTCGACTTCCTAGTGCTGGACGAGCTTGACTTCCTCAACCAGTGCTTGCGTGCCAGCCCTGTACAAAAGCACCTCGAGGCCGACATCAAGGCCCAACCTGACATGTCCAAGATCGATTGGGTCATGAAGCTCAACCAATTGCTGGTCTCGTACTCCCAGGTCACCCAAGAGGAGGAGGGCCTGTGGGACATTGATGTTTCCTTGTTCCTTGCCGAAGAGACGAGTGTCAGTGCTAACTACACTGCCAGGACGGCATGCGGCGACGTGGTTGTCAAGCTCGGCGAATGGCTCGGACCCAAGGTTTTCCAAGGCCTTTATGAGGTTGCCAAGACTCTCTTTGGTAACAATACCAACAACTGGCGGGAGCAAGAGGCTTCGCTCTACCTGTTTAACTGCGCCCTGAACGACTTTTTGGACTGCGAGAAGACCGTTCCTGTCGAGGTTACCGCACCCTATGGAGAAATCATTCAGTACGCCGTCAACAGGCAAGATATGCCCGTCTTGTGTGCCCGGGGATTTCTTGCTGGAGCTACGCTAAGCCAGGCCGCCGGCAGCCCGGCGTATGGTCTTCTTGAACAAACCATCAAGACTGTTGGAAGCTCGGACTCGGAGCTTATCCAAGTCGCCTGCATTAAGGCCATGGATGGCTTCCTCCAGTCCACCCTCGAGCCGCAGTACCAAGGCCATATCCTCCAAGCTATCCAGGGTTACCTGAGTGGACTGGATCTTACCTCGCTAGAGGACTCGGATGACCTTCTGGTAACCATCGTTGAGACACTCAAGGCAGCCATTGCCGTGGACATGCGCACAGTTCTCCAACCTGATAGCACTGCTCTTGACATGCTTCTCACGCTTGGCAAGCACGGTGCCGCCAACTATCATGTAGAAATCAGCGTCTGCGAGGCGTTCGAGGAGATTGCCGAGGCCATGAAGGATGCGACTGCTTATCCAGCCTTCTGCGCCAAGGTCCTGCCATCTATCACTGGTGCTTTTGATGTGGCCAACGTCACTGGAGACGATCCGCTTGTCATTGTATGTTCTGTCTTCTTCACTTTCTTTCGGTCGTGTTGACTGTAGGTACTGACACTTGACAGCTCGCCGTTGAACTTTTATCAATCCTTGTGGAGTTTGGCGTAGAGCCTCTTCCTGCTGGCTTCGTTGAACACACCCTTCCCAAGCTTGCCAGGCTTCTAATGTCGTCGACCGAGGGTGAGGTCCTCCGTCCCGGCACGCAGGCCGTCAAGAACATGCTCATGCATGATCACCAACAAGTGTTTGCATGGAGTGACGAGAGCGGCCGTTCGGGTCTTGAGGTCTGCTTGATGGTTATCGACCGTCTTTTGGATCCTTCTATGGAGGACAATGCTGCTTCAGACGTCGGTGGTCTCGCGGCAGAGCTGGTCGAGAAGGCTGGTCCCCAGCGGCTTGGGCCTTACCTTGCTCAACTCCTAAGGGCGGTTGCCGCACGTCTACACACCGCTCAGGAAGTGGCCATCATCCAGTCGCTCATCCTTGTCTTTGCGCGCCTTTCTCTTACCGTGGAAGGCGCCCGGGATGTCATCAACTTCTTGAGCGAGACTCCTATTGACGGCCAGAACGGACTCCAGATTGTCCTTAGCAAATGGCTCGAGAATTCGGCCATTTTCTCCGGATATGACGAGATTCGCCAAAAGTAAGCTCATCCCTATGCGTGTCGTTTGTTAGTAACTACTGACTTTGCGTTTTCTAGCATCATTGCCCTCTCCAAGCTGTATGAGCTTAATGACGCCCGTGTAAATGAAACCCTGGTCAAGGGTGATCTCATCATCAACAATGATACCAGAATTAGGACTAGATCGAGGGCCAAGCAGAGTAAGTCCCCCCGTTACTGTTTTGGAAACTTTCGCCCACCAGTTTTACTGAGCCATCCATCTTCCAGACCCCGATCAGTACACCCAGGTCCCCGCCCCGCTCAAGATTGTCAAGGTGCTCGTTGACGAGCTCGGCGCCACAGCCGGTTTCCACTCTGATGCGCGGTCTGCGGCCATGGCGCAGAACGTGGAGGTAGAGGAGGAAGACGAGGATGAGGATGACGAGGGCTGGGAGGATGAGCCCGATGTTCTGGATCTCGGCCTCGGCTCCACCAAGGCTGAGCTCATGAGCTGGGCGGAGGGTAACCAGGCCCTGCGCGATCGTGATGACGAAACCCGCCAATACCTGGTTGGGTTCTTTGTCCGCGTCGCAACTGAGAACATTGGCAACTTCAATGACCGCTGGTACCAGCACCTTAACGAGGAAGAGAAGGAGAAGCTGCGGGAACTCAGCGCTCAATAAACGAGAAAAAGGTTGGTCGATGTCCGTCCTCGACGGCAAGGCAGAAGTGTGGCAAAGTGAAGTGTTCAACGGGTCATCGTCTGCCAGCATAAGGTATACAGAGGTTATATGGACGAACGAAATGATGAAACAGATCTTATCGGCGGTTTTGCGTTAGCCTGTCTTTGGCATCAAGCGATATGGCAGCATTGTTCGCAGTGGGGGAAAGTCCGCCTGGACTTTTATCATTCTTATCCAGAGGATTATCGCTTGATCGTTTGGTGCGTGCTGTTAGCGTTGGGATTGCAAAAAAAGAGTTACATACGTGTCGATTCACATATATCACCACTCATCGTTACTTGGTTGAGATAATAAATAAACATGTAAGAGGAGACGTTGCTGTTTCCAGAAGGCGCTCGGAACCACAAAGAGCCCATGGCAAGGTATTTTTATCTTGTACCGAAGAATTTTAGGGGATTCGGAAATGAGGAGGGTCGACAATGCAGATTTGAAGGTCTGTCAGTTATTTCGACAACAACGTGAAGATTATAGACGTAAATGTGGATGCGTCCTAGCGCAGGCCAGAACAACTTTGATGCTTTTTTGTCACCAGAACACCATCAATAATTAATCAATGGAAAATTCGGGCCAGGAACGGAAAAAAAATTATAACATGGCCAGGGAATGCAGCTTAGGACATAACCCTTGTGGAACGTTTAACATCCAACTTCCAAAGGGACAAACATGAATCGTACAAGCGAGATAATTCCTATACACGCTCATTAGACATGGCTCAATACTATCTATGTAGGCACTTCAATATTCTTCAATTTACACTTGCCTTTATTAGGGGGCAATCTTCATAAGGCTTCTTCGACTGGGATAACTTATACAACCAACGGACGACAAGATCGATCGTCGGAGGTGGTTTTTTGCATAAATTGTTCTCCAAGGAAACCGAATGATTATGAATACCACAACATGGTAGTATAGGTGATTTTCATCATGACATGAACAATGCCTCTACTATTCAATGTATATTAGGTACCTACTTCTATCTAGATAATTCAAGGGAATGCTGACTCACACCGTGGTATCATGACGAATAGGGTTGGACCGCTGAGGTG